TTATATTTTATATTTTATATTTTATATTTTATATTTTATATTTTATATTTTATATTTTATATATTATATTTTATATTTTATTACAGTGAATCACACAGCGGCTCATCCGTATACCATATTTCATTCCTGCTGTACACCATGACTGGGGCCTTGCTGAATATTATTATCTCAAACGTGGCTACCTTCTTATATTTCGGACGTCAGGATGTTAACTCTGTGGATTCTCTACTCCTGGCTCCATTTTTGCAGCGCCACTTGCTCAAGAAAAGCCAGTATGAGTCCGTACGTCTTAAAAGTAGAGCAACTATTGTTGAGAGCTCGGATTAAAGTTGCCTTAAATCCTCAAATATACAGCCGACGTGTAGATCAAACTTTGAATCGATTTTAAGAAATCTTGGCTTTATATATAATACATAATTTTCTGCAACTTAGAAGCTAACTGAAGTCTTGCTTACGAGCTACTTCAAATTATTATTGAATATCCCTATTTACCTCATTATTATTATGTATGAATTATTTGTTCATGTATTCAAATACTTGTTCCTACACCCTGAAACCAGTGAAAATGAGTTTTCAGTTGAGTTTTTTCGTTACCTTTTCTACACACCATTCTGGAAAACCATAAGAGATATTAAGGATCGTCGCATATTACCTATGAATTGGAATAATTGGAATCTGCTTTTGGCTGGGCTTAGGGTATCTGCCGGTCGGGCAGTCTGAACTACTTGTTCTTTAATAATTTACTCTAATATTGTAAAAACTTTAACTACATTAAATTTGTAAAATCTGTAGAATTTGGTGAATATAATCTAGGCACTGTGCCAACCAAGTATGGCTGTCAACTGTGTGCATGGGAGTTTAAAGTGCCATGGAACACAGTTGGCAGCTATCGCGGGTTGGCGCTCAGGCCCAAATCAGAGACTAACGATTGATTATTTGTGGGATCTTTCATCATCCACACTGGGCATTGATTTGCCGTAGCTACGTAGCTTTCGTCTCGAGCCAATTGAGCTGGTGGCCTGCGTGACCGGCGCGGATGAGTTGAACTGGCAGCGGCACTTGCGACTCGTTCCAGTTGCGCTCGACGGCGTCGCCTGGCTGCCCCGTAGTCCAGTGCCCAACGGCGTCCACATAGTGGGCGTGGCTGGACGCTGGCTGGAGTGCTTGCTGCTCTTGCAGCTGGGAGTCCTGGACAAGGGGAACAGCGGCGAGTGATGCAAGTCGGGCATGCTGGTGGTCGAAATGCCCTTGACCGTGCGCTGCACAGCGATTGGCCTCGAGCAGCTGGAGTTGCCAGACCTCGAGGACTTGTGGCTGCAATTCTTGCATGTGGACTGCTGGAATAGAGGGCGTAAGTCTTGTTGTTCCCATAGCTGATGCTGTGGTCTATGTTGCGAAGGACTTGCCTTCGGCCTTTGCACAGCCGTGTCGGACTCCTCCCTCTGATCGTACTCGTCCAACAGGCGCTGAGCACACTCCACGCTGTAACATTTGCTCTCCTCCGTCAGGTCATCTGGGCATAGTTTTCTCTTCGATTGGCGCTGGTTGTTGAGCGCGCGATAGAACAACGTCTGATTGTCGATGAGCATCTGGGCCACAAACTTGAACTGATTGAGGCTTGACTCATTCTGCTCAACAATTTCTGGGGGCTCAGTGAATGAACATCAATTTCTAGTACTCAAATCAATTCACGCGCACTTACTTCCCATTACATCGCTGTTGTGCTGCTTCAGTAGCGTCTCTTGCTGCGTTAGATCTGAGGCAATCTGGTCCATTCTGGTAACAATGTGAGCAAAGTGCTTGGTCACTATATGCTCGACGGCGGAGTGCACCGCGTTAAGCACATTGTCGTAGAGGATGTTGAAGAAGTCGGAGCAGGTCTCAGACGGTGCTCGGCTCAGATCGGGCAAGTTTCTTGCGGGGGGTGCACCCTGCGGCTGAGGAGGGCCCTGCTGCAGCTTTTTACCGTACTCCCGATCATCTATCTCAATGCTGCCAGCGTGCGCCCTGTCTCTGTGCAGCTGCTGATCCATGGGAGGCAGGAGAAATTCCACGCTACGCCCGGCTGATCGTGGCTGGGTCTTCGCAGCGTGCAGCCTGCGCAGCCGCTCATTGTGCTCCTGCAGAGCCTGCTGCGCAGCGAACCCATCGTCCCTGACCTTGCCGCGATGCCGCAACGGACGCGAGTCGACACGCTGGCAGTTGCCATTGTAGGCGTTCTTTGGCATGTACAACAGATCGTAGCCATAGTCGTTGGGCACCTTGGAAAAGCAGTAGTTGGGAAACATGTCTCTCGAGAGGAAGGCACGAGCTGCACATAAATTTATGGTACGGGTTCTAAAAAGATGGTACTTTACTGTGATTTTGACTATTACACAAGCGACGTATGAGTGCGAACGGATGGATTCAACAACACTGTTTGTATAATTTCGAAATTGTTTGTTTTAATGTGTTAGAGTTCGATGATTTTGAAGGAAAAGCCAAAATGTGTCATGTCATCTCTGGGGTATTTCGGAAATTAAGGGTATTATATTATTTATTATAAGCGAATAATTAAAGTTTACAGAATTGATTACTCTTACTGAAACATTACCAGCTCCCAACCTTTTGCTTTTTCATCACTCAATAAAATTAGTAAATGTTAATTGAATTTAACAAGTAGAAGGAGGCGTGACAGATCCTATATAGCATAATAAAATATACATTATTCTTGATCAGGGTGACAAGTTGAATCGATTCAGCCATGCCTGTCTGTTTGAACGCGCCGATCTCAGAAAATGTAGTAGCTTCAGACTTTAAATTTGTTTCTTAGCCCGTTGTATATCACAGCTCAGATCGTTTTAGTATCCAAAATTTGATAACTATCATTGGTTTGATGTTATCGAAAATCGGTGTGCAAATTTTATATATTTATACATGTTTATTGTAATTTTTGTGATATTCCACCCAAGTCCCCCCTCTCCCTAAATTTGAAAAAGTGTACTTTACATACTAGAGACCTCTGCCTAAGTAATATATTAACATCGCGCTACATTATTCTAAGAATATCCTTCAAGAGTTTCTTCTAAGTCTTCCTTTCAAGTATTTCTTCTTAGTATATTCTTGAGGTATTTATTTCAAGCAAAAATATTCCTTTCAAGTATAAGTAATTCCTCAAAGTACTCCCTCCAAGTATTTCCATTGAAAAATTCTTCTAAGTGGCTCCTCCAAGTCTTAAATGCTCAGCTAAACGATCACACACTGAACTGCACGACTAGCCCCGGCCTGGGCGACTGCAGAAATGCTCCAGCTGCTGCCCTTTATATAGGGAGACTTTCACTCCGACTCTCAGTTGCGTTCAAATGTTAAGGCCGACGTCAGGTAGAGATCGTTGCAGTCGAGCTTCAAGTGACCAATGAAAGAACTCTCTGCTGCTGCAAGCACTCTAGCTTCGTTTTATACAAATATAAATACCAAATAAAATACCAAAAGAGCACTGCTGTATACATAAAGAAAAGATCTTCTGTAGGCAGAGGCAAGCAGGCAGAGAGACAAAGCTTAACTATGTTTGCTTATTCAATGTAATCAACACTTTCAACATTATCCTATTTATAGAAATTTCTCATTATTATACTCTGATCTATGTCAGTTTATATATCTTACACACAATTATAATTAATGCAGTTTTGTCAAGTTGTAAAGTTTTATTTCTTTGCTGCGCCGTATATACGCCGTATATATAAGTAGAAGTTTGTTTCTCTTCGCTCTGCCTTCCTACAGCAGTCTGTCGCTCTAATGGTATTTCAATTAAAAGTTGGTAAGTAAATTATGATAGCCTCATTGCAAACTGTTTACGCCTAGCCACGTTCCCAATGAAGCGTACTGGAAAATAAAAGCGGCCTGCACTTGATGCTCGCAATTTGGCAACTGGCTATATTAACGGCATTAATTAGTTAGTTTCGATGGTCGCGATTATGTCATTCCTGCTATTTATATAGCTTGTGCCATTTACGCAATCGGAGCATAATAAAATATGTTTTCATATTCGATGCAGGCATTCGACTAATTTATTGCGTTCACGTTGACTTTTGGCCATTGACGTCAAGAGCCGCCGACATTACAACAATTATAAATGAAGTAAGAGGGGTCGGGAGAGGGGGGGAGGGCGAGAATGAGAGCTGTCCCGTCATGTCCTCAGCTGTCCCAACTGTCCCAGCCAGTTCTCTTTGCTCTGCCGTTGGTCCTTGTCGCGTCGTCCTTGGGCCCATTGTGCTCTGTTGCATGGAGACCTAAGAATGAAATTTGTGGCGCATGCCAAAATGAATTAAAATGCGAGTCCGCAGATTTCTCAATTTCGTTTTTTATTCTTTTATTATACATATACTATTGGCCTTTATGCTTTATGCTCGGCCAGTTGATACACATAATTATGAAATAAATATTGGCTTAGACCAAATTGACTAAAACGTTATGCTCTATTAATTCTTAAGTTTTGGCTTTCAATGCTTGGACAAGTGGTGCACGCTTAAGACCTAACAAGTATTTAAAAATATTTACAGATTCAAGATTGGTACATAGAGAGACAATTAGATAGCGATATATAAATGTAGATTATAGTAATATGTATTTGTATATATGTAAATACTTAATTGGCTTAACGGCTAGTTGGACAGAAAAGAAATGCAATTACTGAATTTCGTGTAAATAAATAACATCAGTCTGATAAATAGAATACGAGTAGGAGTGTTTTTATTTTGTATTACTTGTTCTACACTAAAATAACATCACTTGGCCGAAACTTGGGCGAAATCGAGAGAGGTTTTCGTATAAATTATACCAAAAAACAAAATAAAAAAAAAACCCACGCCCTTACGCTTTGTGATGCCACAAACCTTAATTCAGCTAAAATATAGTTTAAAATTACGGTACGGTAATGGTTACGAGCTAGCTGCATAAATACTTAATAGATAAATTGCAATGGGAAATACACGCACTGAATTCGCAGCACACATACACACACATCTGTATATACATATATAGTACATATACATGTGTCTGCGTATTCGATATCCGTTTTTGGGCTCGCGCTATGCATACACAACTATCGCACTTATTGTCTAAGCCTCGTAGAGCCTGCTAATTGGGGGGCGGGTCGGCCGTTCACTTCGCTTAAAGGAACTCCGCATCGCTGAAGGACGTCGGCCCACGGACCGCAAACGTTGAACGCCTGCGGGTCGAGTGCGCCAGCTATCATACCTCGGACATGGCAGCCACAGTGATTACCTTGTTGGGCCGCTCGCAGATGATGACCCGGGCGTTCGCCTTGTTGGTGGAGCGTCTGGAGACCGTCAGAGATGTGGTCAGGGTGCGCATGGAATCACAGCTGTTGTGCAGGCGACGGCCCACCGTGTGGCAGCGGTTCTGCTGCGAGTTGTTGCGATACGATTTGCAGCAGCAGGTCAGCCACTTGAAGGGCGGGAAGCGGCTATAGAGTGGGCGGGGCATTTAATAGGGGCGAATAATTGGGTCCGTGCTGGCACTTACCTGAGCGTACGGAAGACCTGCGAGGAGAACAGGCAGTAGATAAGTGGATTTGCCGCCGAATTGAGCGGAGCGAGACTCTGAATGAATGTGGCGATGGCAATGTTGGTCTGCGAGTGCGGTATCTGCCCAAAGACTTGCAGCAGATCGAATATTATGTACGGCGACCAGCAGATGATGAACACAAACACAATCGTCAGCGTCATCTTCACGGTCTTCACCTTGGCGCGTGGTATGATGCCCCGGGAGCTGGCGCGTCGCGTGGCCGCCCCACCGAAACCTGCACGGTCTAGCCAGAGTGGAACGCATGAGCAAGGGGGAGCACAGGACAGGGGTTAGCTAGTCCACCTACCTGTCGGCACAAAGATGGAGCCTTTGGCCCATATGGTCTTCACAATAATCGCATAGCAGGCGGAGATTATCAGGGCGGGCACCGCAAACAGCGTGGCCGACACGAGGCACATATAAATCTGCCAGGCCATTGGCGAGCCCAGCTCGATCCAGCACTGCGGATGGCCCTGTATGAGCTTCTCCTCGTAGAGCACCAGGATGGGCAGGGAGAAGAGCGCGGAGACTACCCAAGCGCCTGCTACCAGATGACGGGCGCGTTTCCCTGCAAAGGTAAGACACACACACACACATGTTTTGCGTTAGGCCCAACTGCCAAAAGATTTCCCAATTAAAAAAGTTTCTGTGAACGAGAACTTACACGACTTTGAAAAGTTCATGGGATGTGTTATAGCATCGTATCTGTCAATGCTCATGGCCACGAGCACATAAGTGGAGGAATAGGTGACGCACACCTGCGAGAAGCGGATGACCTTGCAGGCCACGTTTCCGGCACGCCACGAGATGGTGATGCGCCAAATAATATCAGTCAGCACATTGAGCAGCCCCACGAATAGATCTAACACAATATGGATTAAATTTGATTTATTTAAGTATTAATTGTGCTCTTGGCTGCTGAAATCTCTCGCTCTCTGCACTCACCTGCCAATGCCAGCTGCTTGATGAAGTAGTTCATGCGGGATTTGCGATTCTTGTTGATGAACATCACGAACAGAACCGCCGAATTGCCTAGCACAATGATGGTAAAGAGTATCCAGAGTACAGCGAATTGTTCCGTCTACGAAGAGAGAGAGAGAGAAAGAGAGTGGGTGAGTGAGAGTGAGAAATTGAGTAAATATGTCTGTTATTTTTAAAACATTTTACAAACCGACCATAAAATTCATTGTCAACAAAGTGTTAAGAGCGGAAATCACACATAAAACTCAATTTAATATCAAGGCAATTTCAAAGACACACACGTATACACACATATATATACATGGATCTATATGGACACCGAGTCACATAAAACCACACACGCGTCTTTGTTTATGGCTCTTTAAATAGCCATAAAAATGATAGACACTAACTGAGCCGTGGCGAGGCGAGGCGAACCATGCCGCACCGAGTCGGTGCCAATGTAGGCGTCTGCGCCTCAATGGCAGGAACTGCCAACGGAAGTTTACTCTACCAGCCAACCAGACACGGCAACAGCAACAACAACTGCTACAACAATAGATGGAAAACACACATTGCTCGTAGTAATGATAGAAAGCAAACACCAAAAGTTGTTGCCTTCAATTGTGCTCGGTGCTCGGCGAGGTAATTAGGTTTTCGCTGTGTACTTTGAACAGGAAATTGAGGCAGAAACCAAGTGCTGGAAGTGCCACAAATCAGAGAGTCTAGCTGGGCTGTTTCACGATTGCCCAAAGCTGCGTAAATCACTTTGTTATCTATTTAAATCAGGTGAAATATGCCAGCCTAAGATATATATGTATATAAGGATTAGAACCCATATCAATATCGCATGGTGCCGGCTCCTTTTCATGTAATCCTGTTTACAACGCTAAGCAAGGTCTTTGCTACCTGGCCCAACTATATTGGGCTCGCGCAAACACCAAAAGTAAATTTGCAACAACAAGAACAACAACAAGACAGTCAACTTGACGTCTGCTTTTTGCTGCTTGCCTTTCAGCAGACTGGCGACGCCTGAACTTGTGCTACAACTTTTTGGTTGCTTGATTTTCGTTGCCTTTGTATTTATAAATTCTTGGCACACCGAGTGCTCGGGTCCCGCGTTCCGCGTCGCCCCCCGCCTGCCCGTTGATCATGTTGCGCAAATTGCCGTATAAATCAGCGAGAACGACAAATGAGCAGACGCGGCCAGACAGCGCGGCTATTTTTACTCATTTCGCATTTGATAGAGAGGTAGGTGTATGGATGGACGGATGCCTGCTGCTCCCGGCTGCTTTGGTTTTCATTAGTTCTTAAAAAATGTGCCAGCAAAATATTTGTTTAAAGTTAGCTTGAGTAAGGGCTTTTCACACTCGGGGGCAAATTCAGCATCCTTTCGGGTTCTCTGCCAAGTTCAGCCACAATGACTGGATCATTTTATGAAAGCCTTTGGCTTTGTGGCCCAAAGTGCTTTGGCCGCTACCTCGCTTCCTCGCTTCCTCGGAATTCCCTCGCATGACTTTGACAATTTTTGTTTCCTTGTACGTAAGCTAGAGCATCAAGCAAAAGTAAAAAATAAACAAGCCAAAGAAAGTTATTTGAAACTTTCGCCATTTAACGTGCGCTCGTTCAGCTCTTGTGCACTTTTATTATAGCCCTCGTTTTTTTGCGCATTTTATTCACATTTTTTGCTGGCGGCAACTGTTGGCAAAATATTTGCGCTGTGCCAAGAATTTTGGCTATTTGCGGCGAGTTTATACATTGTGAGATATACATATATGTATACAAATATATTCTGTAGAGTGAATATCCGCGTGTGCTGCCGGAATTCATTTCCAGCTACTCTCACTTCGAATATTTCATTTGAGGCGATTATTGACAGACATCAATGTTATTTACCGCATATAAAATAATATTTAAAATGAAAGGGCTCCATTGTGAGCACAGATTGAATGTTTTATGACTATCTTCCAGCTTCATTTCAGCAATAAAGTCTCAGAAGTCATAAACGTTTTTATTGTGTTTTCAAATGCGATTTCCTTTCAAATTTTGCGAGGAAATTCTTTTCCGAAACTCATTTGTAAATTTTGTATTTTAGTAATATTTTTTACTCAAGTTCTTGGCTCCTAATTTTTTTTTCCTTCGTCTATGCCATGCTGCGAGCCTTATAAGGAATGTAATAAATGGCACGTTGTAAGCCTTTTTTAATGACCAGATACTTTTGGTTGTGTGTGTGTGTGTGCGTGAGTGTGTTGCCCTTTTTATTTGTTGTTGTTTTTTTCGTTTTATTTTTCCTTTTTTTTGCGCTGTTTGGCAGCAAGTCATTATGCCCTTTTCAATTTCGCTTTGCACCTCAAGGAAATTGCTTTTTTGTTGGCAGCAATAAAAGTGCGAAATTTAATTTAGAGCCAAAGGAGTTTCGGGCTGAGCCTAAAGGCAAAGCGACTTAGCTGGCAGCCGATAAGGCCACATCAGCGACCACAAGACCTTATTAAAGGCCAATTTCGCAAACGGGGCCAACGGGCCAAGTTGCAAGCTGCAATGCCAACAATAGCTGCCGCTTAACACCTGCCACCGCCCACCACCCACCTGGCAACAGCCTTCAGTCCTCTGTTCAGCCACCTGTTGCGCATCGTTGTCTGGCTCGGGCCCCAACTATTATGTCTGATTATTAAGTGTGCCAGCCATAACAATGGCAGCCACTTGAGCCCGACACTGCTGTTGCTGTTGCTACTCCTGCTGCTCCTGCTGCTGCTGCTGCTGCTGCTGTGGCTTGTTGGCTCTCCCCTTTGGCTGGCCTTCGCTAGTAACTTAAAGTGCGCTTTGTGCGGCTTTTGGGCGGCGGCTTTGCGCGGTTTAAGTTGCTTTGACAAATTCTAGCAGCTGCGCAGCAGCTAGATAAATGCCTGGCCACAGAGCACAGCCAATGGCAAATTAATTTCATTCTACTGCAATACAATTACAACAATAAAACGTTAAAGCTCTGCCAACTGCTGTGGTTGCAGCTGCAGTTGCTGTTGCCATTGCTGTTGCTGTTGCCATTGCTGTTGCTGTTGCTGCTGCTGTGGCTATGCTTATAAATCAGCAGCTGTAGCCCGCAAGTCCACAAGGATTGTAAATGGCATGAAAATGGTAAATGTTTGCAGTTGACTATCAAGAAATGTGGCCAGCTCTGTAGCCCAGCTGGAGTCGTTTTTTATGGCCGTTAACATTTCAATGCAGCTAACGCATTAATTGAAGGTCAAAACCAAGCAGACTGGGCGTATGATTTCATGCTATTTTAGGAATCGGAAAAATAATAAAAAATACACAAAATTGCCTTGATTTTATTAGCAATAATAGCATCCTTATGCTTCAGCAGGAATTTGTATACAGAGCTCTCTTTGAAAATCTGTTCGATTGATGATGATGTTGGTTTATTTTTAGTTGGCACTTGGGAATTCTTGCGTAATTCATAATATCTGTCATGTAAACCATTAATAATATTGCATAATAGCTTTCTAGAAATTATTAAGAAATCTGAATTTATTTTCAACTTCAATTTCAATTTATTGCATAACAATCATAGATTTCGATTGAATAGCTAGAGATTTTCTTCGTAATGTCGTTATATAAGTTGTTATATATATTGCGGTCGTTCATGACCGAGTGCCTAACAGTTCTTAGAACCAAAAACGTTGTCTGTAGTTACTCAACAGTCAAGTTTTAGCCGTAGATCGAAAATGAAAAAACATACAAATATATAAAATATAACAATATACATAAAGAGAGATATATATGTTTTCTTTGCTAAATTATATAATAGAGAATTTAATTCCAATATAGATATTTGTTTCCTGTATAACTTTTTGGGATGTGCTGTTTTAAAAGCCATACAGTAAACATTAAATTTTAAGGCTATAATATAAATATTTGAATGAACTTTTCACTTGTTGGCTTACTGTAGCATAAAATTAAGTATTTCTTTGGTTTTTTTTTCGGTTCTATCCCAAAAAGTAAAGCACTCAAACAGCGAGAGAGAAAAAAACACTCTTAAACGGCTTACGAATTTTCGCACAGCCATTAAATGAATAAGTTTTCAAGTTGTGCAGTCGCAGAGCGAGTGCCCCATTGATATCTATGCAGGATCTACTTGAAGTTTTTCAAGTTATTTTCCATTACTCTCGCCTGGCTGTTCGCAGTGTTTATTTTTATTGCACTTTTCATTAATACCGATTACGCTGTGCTCGAGTGCGGAGTGGAGTGGCGTGGTGGCATAAAGTGAAATTAAATGGAATATTACGTATACGCGGCGTGCCAAGCTCAGAACGGTCAGATAATAAGCAAAATAATGTCGCTGCCATGGCGACAAGGCGAGCGATGTGGCAGCTTCTTGGCTCGGCTGGCTGAGTTCAATGAACCCGGGGCGTGCTCTGCTGTTGAATGCTGTTTAATATTTAAGCATCCGCATATTGTCCACACTCACACACCACTACAGACATACACTCGTACACACATTGACACTAACAAACACTGGACGATTCCGCAATGTAAGCGTATCTGTTAAGCAGGCATAAAAACATGCATTTGGGTCAAGCCGTGCGCATCAATCATGATTTTAATGGCCGCTATACGGACAACAATGGCCAGTCGTTGAGTTTTATGAACTATGCTCGAGCCAAAGCCGCAAAAGCCAGTCGCCCACATTTGCTGCGGCCCAGGCCGTGTGACTGATGTGAGCCAGAGCAGTCGAAAAAGTGCGCTTTAATTCGGCTAATGGCATACATTTTGTCATCAGCTGGCTTAAATCATTTCGTTTGGCTCACTGGCTGCGCATATTTGGCGTTGATGTTGACACAAATTGAAATTAATAAAGCGTTCCACCTCCGCCCCGCTAGCCAACCAACATACATTAGCTGTGCGAGCGAGTGAGATGCAAGATGCGAGTTGTGTTTGTATGTGTGTTGTGTTTGTGTTTGTTTACTTGACAAACTGTTGAGCGGCACTTTTGACAGCCGACTGCGTAACGGTCACGAGCAGCCTAGAGGGCTGGCTAGAGAGCTGGGCCGGATCGGGCTGGGCTGGCGAGAGTGAAAAATGACCAAAATTTGGCTAACATCATTTTGGTTAGTTGCTGGTCGCAGC